ATAATAAAATAATTTTTTAGAAGACTTTGAAAAATATTGACTGACCTATGTTGTACATGCAATTTACATTGCATAGGTATGTACATCTGAAATCGGACAAAGGGGAGGTAAAAGTAGGCACAAACATCGATCGGTGCAATAAACGGAACGCTTTGTTCGTTGTGCCTGATATGATCTTTGACATTCACATTATCATGATTATTATGGCAGAGCTATTGTTGTTATAGTAACAACAACGATAATATTTCTCCGTAAATAGTCTGTTCTAGTCTGACTTGCGAAACACCCATTTTGAGGGATCGACGCTCCATCATCGTAATGGCTGAAATACTCTATGGTTCTTGAGACTATTAAAAATAAATTTTTCTTATACAATTTTATAATCTACGTTTTTTCTTTATAAAAAGTTATATTTATGCTTTTGAAGAATTAAAACGAAATTGTGAAAAAAACAGAAAAAAAATTACCAGTATCAAGTCATTTCCACAACTTTAGCCATTTACTATTTTTTTTCATTGGAAAAAAGCGTTAGGCAATGGCGAAAAAAAAAAAATCTATCCGGATCGCATAAATAACCAATGAGTAATTCTTAAAAAATTTTTCAACACCCGTTGAGCTCATTAAAACTACAAAAATACGCGGCAACTAGACAACTCTTTTTTTTATACACGATTTCTGCAACCAAAGTTTTTTGTTCTCGATAAAGAAACTGTGCTGCAGTCGGGCACGACTAAAAAAAAAAAAAAAAAAAAAAATCCACGGAACTGCACGATTTTTACTTCCTTGCACATTCGTACACACCAGTTGCAGATAATGAGCGAGCACAGATAACACCTGCAACATCGGCATTGGGGGGTGAGCTTTGAAGTAAGGGGATCGGATTTTCAGCGATAAAAATTGATTTTTTTTTTTTTTTTTTTTTTTTTTTCAATCGACGAGCCAACGCACGCGCTCCCTAAATTTGGGTCAACATAATAGTGCGAACGCCCAAAGTTATCGTAGTACCCCGAAGCTGTGTTCGTGTACGCGTGTGTGCCTAATGGCTGTTCTATATCCCGCGCACACGTACACAATACCTCTGTAGTCTCGTTCGGCCCTCCCTCTTTTTATTTCTCTTCCGCTTCCTTGGTTGGATCCTTTTCTGCATGATCAGGCTT